CAATGTTTCTAATCTCTGAACGCTCTAAAAGAGCACAAAATGTCATGATTTCAGCTCTCTACCTCCGCTGCTCTCAGCCACCTGCAAGCTCTATTGGCCATGCCCACTTCTCCGCTCTGCACGGAGAACAGCCGATCAGCTGCAGCAGCAAGTTTATCCTGCAGTGTGGGCTGCACAACGGTGCAGCAGGTGCTAAATCATTCAAAATAATTTATTTTAAATAAAAAAATCCATGCTGATCGTGCGGCCCATCCGTCAATCAGCTATTATGTGTAGTGTCCAATCTTACTTTGAAAAACCGCGACAGTGAGAGTCCGCGAAAGTCGAACTGCAAAGTAGCAAAGGACTAATGTATTATTTTATTCATTTTTTATTAATAAAATCTCTATTATCAGAGCTCAAATTGTGCCATCTGCCTCTACCATTCAGCACGAGGAAGTAAATCACTTTTTCAGTTCATTTAGCCTCTTTTCTCAGGCTGAGCTACTAAGGACTATCAACTGTATGAAACCTTCCTCTTCTTTTTTAGATGTTTTACCAACAACATTTTTTAAGGACTTTTATCACTTTTTAATTCCTGATATTCTAACAGTTTTTAACAAATCATTATCTACAGGGGTAGTTCCCAAACTGTTTAAAACTGCTGCTGTTGAACCATTATTGAAGAAACCCAACCTGGATTGTAACGATCTGAACAACTTCAGGCCGATCTCTAAATGACCCTTTATTGTGAAAACTTTAGAGAAAGTATTGAACTCTCAGATCTTAACTTATTTAAACCAAAACTCACTTCTTGAAAAGTTTCAGTCTGGCTTTTGTCAATATCACAGTACATCATTAAACGTTGTGAATGATATGAGGATGAACTCAGACTCTGGCTGTTGTTCTGTCTTAGTGCTCCTCAATGTTTCTGCTGCGTTTGATGCAGTTGATCATAATATTCTATTGAGCCGACTAAATTATTGGCTAGGTGTTAGAAACATAACTCTGAGGGCGTTCAAATCTTATATTCATGACAGAACTTTTTCGATAATTTCTGGCAATAATTCCTCCAGTTCAGCTTCTCTCACCTGTGGTGTCCCACAAGGGTCTATTCTTGGGCCACTATTATTTTCTATTTATATGCTACCACTTGGTCAGGTTATTCATAAATTCGATGTTTCTTTTAATTTTTATGCAGACGATTTCCAGATTCATTTAGCTATTAACCCATCAGACCTCTCCACACTCAATAAACTTACCCTTTGCCTTACAGACATCAAAACCTGGATGTCTGATCATTTTCTTTCACTTAACAACGATAAAACTGAGGTGATGGTTTTTGGCCCCAAGGTCAAGAGGGATTTAGTAGTTCAGTCCCTTTCTGTTCTTCGTTTTAACTGCACTTGTGAAGTTAAACATTTGGGGGTAACCTTTGATTCTGATCTTGGTTTTTCTAAACATTTTAAGAATGTCACTAAAACAGCATTTTTTCAAATTAAGAATATCAAAATCAGAGCATTTACCTCTTTAACTGATGCAGAAACTCATTCATGCCTTTGTCTCTTTATTTTCTGGTCTGCCTTAAAGTTTTCTTAATCATCTTCAACCAGTACAAACACTGCAGCTAGAGTTCTCACAAGATCCCATAAACATCAGCACATCACTCCAGTTCTGTCCTCATTGCACTGGCTCCCTGTGATTTTTAGAATTGATTTTAAATTTTATTGTTTGTTTTTAAATCCCTGAACATTCTTGCACCATCATATCTATGTGAACTTCTTACCCCCTACATCCCCTCTTGCAATCTCAGATCCTTAAATTTCTTACTTTCCACTCCAAGAGCTCGACTGGTGACAGGAGGAGGGAGGGCTTTCATGGTCAGGGCTCCTAATTTGAGGAATGCTCTTCCTTTAAATATTAGACAGGCCTCTTCATTGTCTTCTTTTAAATCAATAGTTACAACTTACTAGTTTAAAAAGGCTTTTAATATATGAATTTCTTTCTTTTTAATGTTGTTATTTTAATTGATTTGGTATACTTTTGTGTTTCTGATGTCATTTATGTTGTTTTAATTGATTAATGTGAAGCACTTTGTAATATTTGTTTGAAAGGTGTTATACAAATAAAGTATTATTATTATTATTATTCTGGGACCCTGTGTACATAATTTCGCTCCACCACATGCACCACATGAGGTGCGAATGACAATAAAGAAACTCTGACTCTGACTCTGATTATGGCGGCAGCCATTTTGAAATTTGACATGGCAACCCAACTGTCTAAAGGAAACTTTCTTACACCTAGATGAAGCCACACACCAGAATGGAAGTCGGTACCTCGTTTATTTTTCATATAATTCAGCTCACAACAAGCACAGACGGACAAGATGGGCGGCATTTTCAATTCCGCCTCTTGGCTCCACGACGGGGGACAACAAATTGTGGAATCTCAACACCTGAGTAAAGCTCCCAGACGTCAGAGTGGACTTCAAACCAAAACATGATTTGCAAACAGTGAGTTAAAGAAAAACAAACGGTCAGACTTTTATAAATCAATAAAATACCTCTACGTTGAATTATCTCATCAATTCTGAATAATACTAGACGAGTAAATCAACCCCTCCTTGTCGTCTTTAGCTGCTAGTACTTATACACTGACCCAGTTTGACAAGAAATATTGAAAACTCAAAATACTCACCGTTCAACGCGTCCAACTTGGTTCCTATGTGGATTTAAAAAAAATAATTTAGAAAAATATTTTGCAAACACAATAAGAAAGTAATTAAAAATCTATGATTTTTATTAGCGCACGTACCAAACTGCAGACTGTTCAGATGATTTGCACAACGACAAGTTCTCCAGCACCTTTGTTACGCCGCTGGATTCGGCCATTTCCACGTAAATCTGTTCCAGAAAAACAGTTGTGGAAAAAACAAAACAAAAAAACAAAAGAAGGAAGACAACGGCGATAAATGTTTATTAACACAAAACCTGCGCATCTCAGAAGAGATTTAAACACAAGCAATGATTGAAAAAACTCAATAAAAGTGACCAATTATTCACTGGCATGTAAATTTACATGTCAGGGGATTTTGGTAACGTTCAAAACAGAAACTTTGACAACCCTCAG